TCCTGAGGCAGCAGTTGCACATCCCAACGAGGGCTTCATTACCGTGGACTTTCCAATAATAGACCTGGGTATGTGGGAATGCTAGCTGCAAATATGGGAATCAAGGCCGTGATGAGACCGCATTAGCCGCATTCGCATTGGGCTTCGGATGGTGGGGCACTTGAAGGGAGTAAAGTGCGGATTCGGCTCGGCGACAACCCGTTCACGATCTGTGGAAGCTGGCAAGCGAACAGGACTGTATCTATGAGCAGTCAAAGCTCGTTGAAAACTTGCCTCCAGGTCGTCTGTAGCGTTGACGCCAAGCGTCGAGCCAAATGGAGGATTACAGTTAGGGCTCACCTGTGCTGCGTTCTACACGACGAGGAATGGGTGGTATTTGGCCGCTGAAGCGTCAAGCTAGCAGGTCCCACGTTGGAGATCCCCTTAAACGACGGTCGCGAAATTACAGACGTTATTGAAGCCAGCCGGGGCATGCCAGCGGGGTATGATGTTTGGTGCGGCTTTAGCCCGTTCTCCACCACTCGCTGCGGCTCCAGGCATCCGACGATTGGTGGAAAAGGGGCTGACCATGCACAAAAACCCGTGATACGCTCTGCCTGCTGAAACGCCCCGACTGACTTCAGGGATAGCGACTTTACTACTTCTTATAGTTGCTCGGGTAGTCCACGCCACCTGCTCAACGGCAAAGTTCTAGGAAACTTTGGGAAGATGGTGGCTTGGATGGGAAATGGTGATAGCACCTGAGGAGAAATTTCTGGGGGGGGGGGAGGAGGGCGTCGTATACTGCATACCGTGATGGTGTGCCCGGAAAGCAATAGCATACAGTTGAATACAGTAGCAATCATTACAGAAGGTGTTTAGGCTAATGCGGTGGCGAGTTCACTGGAGAAGAAACAGAAAGGCTTTGATAAAATTATCGACGAATGGCGACGAAAGTGTGAGGCCCTGGTGCAGGAGGTGGAATCCAGTCAACGAGACACTCGAGCGGCAGCGACAGAAGTGATGCGGCTACGTAATCAGCTCGAAGAATCTTCTGAACAGGTAACTATGAGGCGGGAGTACATCATTTTGTTGCTTTATAGGTTTCCTATACCTCATTCATTGCTGGATATTTAGGTAGAGGCCGTACGACGTGAGAACAAGTCGCTTTCACAGGAACTCAAAGATATCACCGATCAGCTTGGCGAAGGTGGTAAGAGCGTGCACGATCTACAGAAAGCCAGAAGACGTCTGGAGCTCGAAAAAGAAGAACTACGGGTACGCTCACCTCCAGAGTTCCTGCTGAAGCATTCTGGCGCTATTCTGGGCTTAGCCACGCTTCATTTGATCCCTAATGACAAAAAACACTCATCTTCGAGGAGGCTCCTTGCCATATACGAGAAGAAAGGGCTGGCAGCTGAATAAATTCAGTTCCTTAAGAGCGCGGGGGAACGAGGCTGAAGGCATTAATATCTGGGTGCCGTTTGCGCACCAATACTCCCGATATCCTGAAGGACCAAAACTTCGTCTTTATCAAACCTGCAGGCAACAGGCAGTCTGACAACATTATCAGTTCAGGAGAACAGGGTGTGTACAGTGTCGGATATTTCGCGTGAAATTAAATGTGTTGAGCCGTAGGCGCACACCCTGGGCATACCGTACGGTGAAATCCGAGTTCGGAAACAGCGGGGACGCGGTACTCCGGGCTGCACCCAGCACCACACGAATTGCACCCAAGCGACACCTGCTGCAGGTGGAAAGCTCGGTCATCCTCGCTCTCGATGCCTTCCTCAGTTCCTCGCTTTTCTGACTTTTTACGTGCAAGGGGGTACTGTATACACCCTGTTTCCCTGAACATATAAACTTGTCGCGGGCGGAGGTACAAAACAACCAGGAAGTGAGGAAGCAGACAAGTAAGTTGTTTAGCCATGGTTATGGGTGTGGCTGACCGTGAGCGTAGGTGGAGTCCCAAACGGCACCATATATCGCTACCCGCCAACCCTGTTCCGGGGTGCTTTCGAGCGAGAAAGTGGCAGGCTACCGTAGCTGCATCCTCTTTGATCCATGGGATAATGATCCACGGAGATGAGTGTACAGTTTCTCTGCAACGTATTTATGCTGAAGAAGGAAATCATGTTTGGCACTTGATTTTAGCAAGCATTGGACGAATCTGAAGCCGCGCTGGAAGCAGAAGAATCCAAATTCCTCCGGGCACAAGTGGAAGTGTCGCAGATACGATCTGAAATAGAAAAGCGTCTGCAGGAAAAGGTTCGTTTCAGATTCCTATTCATAAATGTATAGGGACATCTTGACAAACTGTAGTTGTAGAGGTACAGTCATGATCCCTGTAAACGATAAGGCGTGTGACACGGCGCCCTCTCTCCACCAATGATGGCACCGCAAGCCCATATATGTAGCTGATGGGAAATTCAATTTGACTGCACTCCTAGTCATGACCCCGTCACAGGCCCTGTCGTTTGCAGGGATCACGACTGTATGGTCATCTTATTACGGATGAACAGACTACTTGTTTTCTACACCCTCCTTTCCAATGAGAAGATGAAAATAG